GCGGGTAAATTTAAAGCTTAAATCAGTTTTCAGATTTTATAATTTTTATGTGGAAAATGTACAAATCACACAAACTGGGAAACTCAGAATATATATGCGTCCGGTGAAAGACATAAGCGCCAAAATGTGATAAGAAAAAAAAAATCGTACCTTACAAAAGCGCCAAAATCGTATCGTACATAAGCGCCAAAATGAGATGAGAAAAAAAATCGTATTTTACAAAAACGCCAAAATCGTATCGTATATAAGCGCCAAAATTCTAGGTACCTGTGTGCTACGCAGTGGCGGCTCGTGCCTAGGTGTGCAAGTGTGAGCTCACCACATATATTAATTAGATATAATAGTGAAAACAAATATCTGTTTAACTGTATTTATTATATAAAAAAATTAAATTTTAAAAACAAACAAACGACAATTATTATTATACTCCGAATTAATATTTTTTAAAGTACTTAATATTATTTTCTAAAACTGTATAATCTCAAAATTAAAAATGCTAATAAATATTTTACTAATTACATTTATGCTTAAAACAGACTAATTTTTTTAAAATAAACTTTTGCAATAATTACACACCGCCTACTTTGAACACCACGAGCCGCCACTGGTGCTACGGTTAAAAGATATTAAATAACAGATAATATTATAATTAGAACTATATCGATCAAAAACTCCAAACGTTTAATCTTAATCGATAAATGTATTATTTTACAAAAACTCAACCAATTTATTAAATTTATATTTATTGCATGTATACATACCTATACTCATATTATATTTTAACAATTTATTATTGAACATTTTTTTAATGTAATATATTATATGAAATAAAATATTAAATTTGGCGCAAATGATAGGTCATTATTATACCTTTGGCGCTTATGCCATGTGTTAAGTACAACAGGTATACAATATTAGATTGGCGCTTATGTCATACAAATTTTGGCGCAAATGATAGGTCATTTTTGTACCTTTGGCGCTTATGTCATGTAGCCTATGCGTCTATAGGTGGTAAGTGTCCACTCGTTAATGTATAATTTAAGACGCTCTAACAGATATACCAATCGATTTTAAATCGTCCGAGATCGACTAGCCACGTTCTACCGTTTGGCCACCCCTGTGTCCTTGATCCTTCGGTATATTAAGTGTACCTATATTTGTAATGATAGTTATCGTAAGAAATTCTATGGATAAAGTATTTTTGTGGCGACACGTCTTGGCGTCGAAATGTCGGTACCACGGGGAAAAGGAGAACAGAGCACCTGCATTTCAGTATACATATATACATATAAAATGTATATAATACCCATTTATATACATATTTGTATATATATGTAATATGTATATATATATATATATATAAATATAATACACACTATACGTTTTAAGATTGTCAATAGGTATATGCCATGTTTTTGTATGAAAACCTCAGGTAGGTAGACAAACGTACATAATATTTTATACGACAATCGCATTGCAACACAATAAGCGGCGACGGTCTGTCCGACTTACACCCCACCACCCGGCCACCACCAACCACACATATAAAACATAATATATAGAAGATAATCTAACCTTTTAATCAAAGAACGAACCGCCTGGGTCGTAATCGAATTTCTTTAATTTACAAGTAAAAAGCATTATTATGTGTACGGGAATAATGTAATACATTATTTGGTTGTTTTAATACTATATAATATTATAAAATATAAGATTACAGAAAATACGATAATATCAGTGCTTGGGTGGGTGAATTCGACGGCGCCGTTCACAATAAGAAAAATATACCAGTTACCTAAATCACATCGCGACGCAGTAGAATTCTTTTTTTTTCGGTCTACATATTTTAACAACGCGATCCGAAACATTATCATTTATCGAAACATTTTTATCGTTGTATAGTGGTATGTCGCCAATATGTCGCATCTAAACCAGACGGCGGAACCGTGTCCCTTCACTATTGTTATGGATTGGTTGGTCGATTACGATCAATTCCCGAGGACGGTGACTAATAATTTTATATTATCGTGTACCATAGGTAGAATATCTATGTATATAAATACTAACTTCTCCGCCTGACGTGGCCGGTAAAAAATGATTTTTACTTGTAAAATGAGCCGTCATGGGTGCCTGTAAGGAATCGCTTAAAATGGAAAAAGGCCCAGAAAAATAATAAATATAAATGCGAACACATGTATACTCTACTCCTAATTAGCAATTAGTAATTACCATGTAGAGTGGCCTATAGCAAAATATAATATTATATTATAATGAAAATGATGTCATAAATTATTACCATGAGTAATTTTTGTATAAATGTAGTATGTTTATACTACAGAATTAAGGGCTGTAAATTTTCGGCCCTGTCCGGTCTGGTCCAAAAAATACTTTAAAAAAAAGCCCGGTCTGGTCCATCAACTTAATACTCAAGCCCGGCCCTGCCCGAAATATTTTTATAACTCTAGGTTTTGTTAAAAAAAAAACCAGTCCATTATTAGGTTTTTTTTTGTAAGACTGGTTTAAAAATTTAGTACAATTTCCACATGAAATATTTTAATAATAATAATGATAACTGGAGTTATTTTTTAAATTATGATTATTTATTGTCGAGGAATAATCCTTAAAAAGCCCGGTCCAATCCTTTATTTTATTTTGAAGGCCTGGCCCGGTCCAATATCACTAAGGAACGGGCTTTTTGAGGACCGGGTCAGGCCGGCCCAGACCTCGCATGTTTTTAGTATATACCTAGGATGTTATACTAATATACCTGAAGTGTTTTGACTTATTACTTACAACACTGTATATTATGTATAGATAATTCCATATTTATATTTAATTTTTGTACTATAACAAGTTGTTTTTTTTTATGTATAATTAATAGTTAAGCATAAACCATATTTGAGATATAAACTATTTATATTTGAAATTCTACATTGAATAAATAGGTAAAAATAATTTTTCTTATTAATTGAGTATCTGCATATAAAATTGCCTATAATAGCTTATGAATTATTAATTACTAATTAGGAGTAGAGTATAGGTATATATGTTCACATTTATATTTAATTTTTTTTCTAGGCTTTTTTTCCACCTACCACCTGGAATATGTGAAACATCTAAAATGTAAAAGCCATATTTCTTTTAATTATAATAGTCTTATAATATATTAATTATATATTATTATAATATAGGTGCATAACCAATGGTAACCATTTAGATAAACAAACATTTCTTCTTTTTTATGTTGAAACTAATAAATTACACCTTTCTTGAAAAAATAATCTATAAGCACCCTCCCAAGTCTCAGAGAATCTATTGATATAACTTGAAAAAATGACAAAGTATAGCGCTATATAGCTGTATTATAGTCTTGGTGTACCTCAGTTCACTGGTAAATTTTAAGTCTGTGTACGTAGCACTGAGAATTAATTTGACCGAAATGGACAATATAGGGTGACAAATCATAAATATAATATAATATAAGGTAAATGGAAACAAAGTTCCTGGTGAAAAAGTACCCGCTAAAAAAGTCTCCCGTTGCAGTATAAATAAAACGATATTTCCACTATAATAATCGTTATTTTATTTATTGTATTTTATTTATTTATTAATTTTTTTTTTTAAATAATATTATAAGACAAATTTATTCAATTTTTCATTATTTTACAAGGGATACATACCTAAATAAATACATTTTTATATTTTTTAAATAATATTATTATATGTTTAAGATATTATATTATTATATTATTTTCAATAAATTTAACATGTACCTAGTTATACCTAATTGTAACTATCTACTATTATATATGTTTATGTATTTACTGTAAGTATCAGTAAGACTTCGATCAATAAAACTGAAGGAAAATAAATAGATAGAAGAATACGTCTTATTTATTATTTTAAGTTTATATTTTTTAATATTTTTGTTTATTTAATTTTTTTAATTTTGTATTTGTCGTTATATATTTGTTGTATATTTTATTATGTTTGTGCAAAATAAATATGTAGACAATAATAATTTTTTTTATGTTCTTTCGTCTAGGACTCTAGGTACCTACACAATATGTAAGAATAAATTTTGATCCTAGAAAGATACCTATTGAATTTAGTTCGTTTATTATTTTCAATAAAATATGTAACATGAACTACTTATGGGCTATGTACCTATCTTTAAAAATATCTATATAATAAAAGACTGAAGTTAAATAAAATATTTATTTGGAGACTTTTTCCGGTGACTTTTTTCCGGAAACATTTTCTTCCTAATATATATATAATATCATATAATCATGTAGGTATATGTCACCATATATGGCTTATGGTGGGTGGATTTTGGTATAAATTGAATGTGGTTCACTACTCTCTAAGCTTTTCTGATATCTACATTAATAATTTAAAAATTTCACACAATTGGTTAAGTTTTTGAGCACCTATATGGTGAGCTATAGACGTACATTCAACTCGCATGTTTGTTTTAAGATTTACCTACAGGTAAATGCTCATTAATTAGTCTCATATGGTTTTTTAAGCACATTGATTCGTCACCAAAAAAGTAATATTCGATATTATTTATTTTTTTTAATTGGATGTAATCGGTTTAATATATATTTATCTGATCTTATCATGTTTTATACTTTTAACTTAATTATGCTAATATAATGTTTTATATTGTTTCCATGCCATTTATACAGTTTTTTTTTAATAACGATATTTTTGTTTATTCCCATTTATAACATTGTTCAATTACTCTATAAAATATTAATATAATTTATAAGAGTAAGTTCTATTTTATTTCACTTACTTCATTAAATGATACTTACATCTACTACAAGTTAAGTTAAACATGATTATTGATATTAATATATATAAAAAAACTAAAAGTACTTTATACCTATGATGTTAGATGTGTACTTAGGTATCATATTATGTGCAGCTATAATATGTTTTTATCTCATTCCCTATAGATTATTAATATCTTGATAGAAGCTGGTACTAAAATGACTACTATTGAAAGAGTAATTTCATCCGAAGTGAATTTGGTGCAGTTCGATGTTCCAAAATTGATTTCCACTAAACCTATGCCGACGTTGACAACACAGACTAAACAAGTATTATCTATGTGTCGTATCCATTTAGTGAACTCACTCATTTCATGAAGTGGACATCCACTTCATGAAATGTATCAATTTAGTAAAAATTACGTTTTACTACACTATATGAACAATTTTTTGAAATTTTCATAAAGTTTATGAAATTTATTTTCAAACATTGTGTAATATTACTATTTATGCGAGTATATCTTTGGTATTGGATAATTGTACGATTTGCTCTAAGTTTTTATGAAATTTTTTGACAATAATTAGATCATAGTATATAAAATAAATATAAAAATTGCTTGATATAATTTGTATGTTGTACATTTTATAAACTGATTCGTCAGCGGATCAGGTAATTTCAACGTATAAAATATCAAATTATTGTAGGTAATGCTAGTTACTGATCTAAACTATAGTGTATGCTTCCGTTGACAATACTCTGTCAGTCTGTGTTATACCAGTTACTATTTAGACAAGTAACACGTTATTTCATAATATAATAATAATTGTTTATATTTATTTAATAAAGTAAATATTGTATTTTATGAGAAGTTACTAGAATATTATGCTACGGTGCCGAAGATAAAGTTCCAAAATATTCCGAAAGTCGATAGGTAACTACAGATTCAGTAAATATTTTTTAAAAAAATTGTGGAAGATATGTATAAGTAATTAGATCATTTAATAAAATGATTGAAGTATGATATGAAGCAGGAAATAACTCAAAAAAAAATATGAGACATTTTTAACAAGTTACGGGGTTTTTTTAGACAAAGTTGTTAAACAACTGTAACAGTCACAACAGGTATACAAGGTTTTTTTTCTTGTTCATGCAAGTCCAAAAGCCCCAGTGGCCATATGAAACATCAATATGTACCTGTTTCCAAAAAAAATGTCGTACAATAGTCATTTCCATTACTTTCAAATTTCAACCATGTCCAAATAAATAATAAAATATAAAATTAAGTTTAAAAAAATGTATAGTTTATAATTTTCATATTTCATTATTTAAGAAATTAGATTATATTATTATATTATATTACAACAAGCAACTCATATATAATAATAATATTACGCAATGTGGAAAAAATGAATTTCACGAATTTCATGAAGAGGTAAAAAAATTGTCCATAATATAGTGTAATAAAAAGTAATGCTTATCAAATGTTTACATTTCATACAGTGGATATTGTGACGTATATATTTATAAAATTCCATGTTTTATCGATCTAGTTTAATTATATACAATACTTTCATTTATTTTCATTGACTATAATAGTGGAGAAGTAAAATTATTATTTTTAACATATTATAATATTTCGATATCATATTAATATATTCTACATGCTTATGATTAGTATGTTACCTACGAAATACCTATCAGTTATCAGTTATTATTAATTACTAATATATCATAGACAATATGATCATAGATCATCTGACCATTGTCTACAAATGTGCTATGCATAGTACCTGGGGCGGTTCCAGAGACTTGGCAGGGGGGGGCTAATAGTTGTAATTTTTACAGAACTTATAAGAACAAATATAAAACAACAATTATTACAACTTTTATTATTTATTTTTAGAATAATAACAATACAATTCTTATCAAGGCAATATTTTTAGTATTTCCCCAAGTTATTTAGTATTCTCGTAGTCCACACAGATAGTAGATGCATGTTACAACTCATACACCGACGTACCTCCAATAATTACATACTTTTACGCGGATCTATAATAGTTGATACTATAATATGTTTTTTTGTTAGTAATTTTTTGTTAGCAATATCCAATTTTTTAGAAATACGGGTTTTGGGCCTGGGGGGGGGGGTGGGGCGTGGCCCCTAGGGCCCCCCTGAAACCACCCCTGCATAGTACCTTATATTAGATTTCAGTAATGTTCATGGCACAGGGAAACGCATTGGTATGTTCACAACTCGGCTCTACGCATCTGTGCTGCGTTACGCTGTCTGGTTGTTGGTATTATTGTCTACTACAAAATGCATACGGGCTTATGTCATAATTAAACATAGTACATAATAATATTAACAATAACATGCCCATCCCAGCGAGGACTTAACGATATTCCATGCGAGTTTAGCCATGGTTGATCGACTCAGTTACAACTCATTTGTGCGCAATTTTCAAACATTTAGGGGGCTGGAGCAACGTACCTATGTATATTTCCCATGCATTTATACCAATAAGCAAAATAAATATAAATATATTTCCAGTTACTTGGTTATAATTTTGAAAACTATATCTGATTTTTACTTCTTTTTACTGTGTTTGCTCGGAAGTGGAGTTTTTTTTTCATTTACTGACTACCTGAAATGTAGTCAAAATATAAGTTTGTAAAAAACTTACTATATTACTATTATTATATTATAAAAAACGTACTATGCATTATACTCTATTAACTAAAAATAAAATCAAAAATCTATTTTTAAGCAAACCTCCTAGAAAATAGATCAACGAACATAATTTAACTTTTCAAAATTTATATAAGCCGATCAAAATAATATGAATTTTTCTTCCTCTTTTGGTACTGTTGGCATTAAATTTGTGCAGGAGATCCAAAACAAAAATATTAATCTTCGTTTAGTTTAACATGTGCATGCACGTATAGGCTTTAGAACGTTTCTAAGAATCTTGGAAGTCGCAAAAGTATGCCTGCATGTCAGACGGATATAAATCGATTAGAGATAAGTGAAATGATAATAAATTGCAATATTATTACTATAAATTATAAGAATGGTTAATTCATTTCAAATTAAATTCAACTTATATTATGACAAAACAAAAAAAGTATAAATTGTTTTCTAATATTCGTCATGTGAAGTTAACAAGTTCAAGTTTTTCTTGTCAGCGATTTTGTTTGAATATCAAAATGAACCAAGACAGGCGTTTAGGTAAAAAAAACACCTCAGGTTGGGTGCACCGAAAAAAAAACCTTTCCTTACTTTAGACCTAAAAAGCCCTGCAGTGATCACATAATGTATCATATATTACGTCAGGAAGTGGATAACGTATGAATTTTATCCACACACTGCTATAAACAACTATGATGCTAATAAAAAAAAACAAAAAACCGTTTTTCGGACAAATTCTCATACGAGAATAATTATATGTATAATACTTTGATTTGATATTATCGTGGTTCCGGGAATTCGTATTTTGTGTCAAATAGACGATAAAAAATTACTCATACTAATGTTCATTCACTACTCAGTAGTTCTCGCATATTGACAAGCAAAAATGTTTGCATGTCACATGAAATGCCTAAGCACTACTCCTTAAAATATGGTATGCTCCAGCCCCCTGCAAACCCTATTTTCAAGAAATTTGATTACGTATAGACGTATTAATTTGTTCGAAAGCATACGCAGTTCTTTTTCCTCTTTTTTTTTTCAATAATCCCTAGATCAGTTGTTAATTTGGTCACTATTAATTAAAACAACACTAACAAAATAGTAGACACTATTACTACATTATTACATTGAAAATCGAAATTTCCATTTTAGATCCAGAGCCTCGCTATAGAATTTAGTAATTTTACTATTTTTACATCGATGTTTTTTTTTAAATTTTAATTTGCATACGTAACATTTTAAAATTTAACAGAACATCTACAAATTAATTCATTATAAAAAAGTTAACTGAAAATTCACATTCACTTTTTATGAATTATTGCAAATTGCATTATTATTAATTGTTATTTGTACAATTAAAAATATTTATAATAAGAAATATATATGTAGTTAATTAACGAAACTGTTTTTATTTATTTTACTACATTTTTATTTTTTGGTTTTCTTTTATTATAAATTAAAATAAAAAAAGACTAATTAAATTAAGGTTTTTCAATGAACATCAACTTCGATGTTTCACATCTGCTATGCGTCCTGAGACAGATTTTTATGTAAAGAACTTATTTGAAACTTTTATGACAATATTTTTTTAACATTGAACATTTATCGTTTCTTTTAACTATACAATTATTCGGAGTTTGATTGAATTATTTTGGAAATCCTAAAATTTAATCAAGCATGATTTATGAAGATATTTTATCAGTAAAACTTAAAAACTAACCATACACTAAGGAGGGTACCAAAGGTGATATTAGTGTGATACGTTAGGTTGCCGCAGTAAGCATACATTGCAGTGTTTGCAGTGTTAGCGTTTTTTTTTCACTACATTAGCGTGTGCCTAATCTTACATTTAACTGTGCAAATATTTTAAAGAAAGTATGAAGTAAACTATAAGTAAATTAAAAGAATTTTATGATTATAGAACAAATATTCTATGGAAAACAATGTTCGCTCGATGGACTCTGGAGACTATGTGGATGAGGCTAAACAGCATAATTGTACAGAAGTTTTGAATAGTATATTACCACCAAGGGAATGGGAAATAGATGGTAAAATATTTTCTCAACAAATATCCATTCAACCGGCTACTAACAGGGATGTGAAAAACCTTGTTAATAAATTTGATTCATATTTAAAAGAATATAACGCCAAAGAGGTGGGGATTTGTCCGATCAAACAGGAAATATACAGTCAATGTTTTAGTAAGTCTATTTAAGTTGTTCAACTTCCTATATGATGAGTATAATATATTTGAGGGTGACAATGTGGCGATAGCGCTGAAAAGAGCTTCCAATGTGATTATTTAACTCGTCGGAGTGATCCAGTTTAAGTTGCTGGAAAAACGTCCGTGGTTATACAGTGATTACGTTGTGCCATTGGTTTATTGTGGTGTGTATCCGCACCTAGGAAAGCGTCTCCGTGTTCATAGTCTATCATACATTATTATCGGTGGCGAGACTTACTGCCTGGAGAGTTTCGTAATATATGCAACAATGAGTACTCGGTGGCAAGGCTAAATTTGACTAATAAATTAATAAAGCTAATAAATTAGTAAATACTAGTTAAATTTGTTTAGTTTACACTACCATGACTATTAAGATAAGGTTCTGATTTCTTGGATTCGTGAAATTGTTACCATCAGATGTTGTTTTGACAATAGCCAATATGCTTACCACAATACCACATATTCATAATACCATATAGTTTCTTATAATCGGTAGCTGCGTAACATCTGCTGATGTTTTGCAATAGCCACGAGATGCATAAAATTAAGTTATCAGCATGGCTTTTACGACTGCATAGCCCGTAACTAAAATAATAATTTTATACTTATTTATACACTTAATATTTTTACATAATTGTACAACATATAAATTAAAAATTTTATTTAAAAAAAAATAATTGTTAACCATATATGTTAGCTAAAAACGATTAAGATAATGCCTTATAATTAATTGTTTGGGTTAAGAATAAACAATTATTTAATGTTGGTTTATTTTATAACTTAATTCACATTCAACCCGTGTATTTATATAGACGAAGTCATAAGACAGGTGACGTTGAACTGTGCGGAACGGGGTTACATGTTGATCCGGATTCGAGATGAACTCCAGATGACTATTGATGGCTATAAAGAAGTGTATGAGAGTGCATTAGCTCACGGGATTCGAAAATCATTGCAGGCAAGTACTCTAAGCATGAATCGAAAAAAATATTATATCAAGTTATCTGAATATCTAAGTTTAATATTATTATGTTTTGAGTATCTCTTAAGTTGTCTACCTATATTATACTGTTTGAATAAATTGATACCCTAAATATAAAGCGCACTTTAATAAATTGAAAACAGTTCGGTAACCTAGACATATTGGGAGATTTTATTACTGTAATTAGAGAGACTTTACTCCTTTACAGAGCAAAAACAAACTTAGTAGATTTCCAACTTTATTGGAAAGACTCCAGTTCTAACACTTAAGGTAAACATTTTCCACAGAATCTCCAGCCTCCTAACCGCTATCTCTTTCACCACCAAGTCTGGTACACTATCTAGACCCGGGGACTTGCCTACTACGATGCTCTTGTTGCAAAGTTTGATTTCGCAATCAGTTATTTTCCCAATAACTTCTTTTGGGCTATGAGAGTGGAAACTTTTCTGTTATTTCTCTCAGAAACAAAGCGTCCACAATACTACCCACCTTGGGGGGTAAAATGAGTCCTGGAATTACCCTTCGGCCCACTTCTCTTTTTATAACTATTTTATAGGACAGACCCTAATAGTACGTCTCCACTTGAATTCACAATTTGTCCCAACTGTCTTTTTACTTGTCTACTTCAGTTTTTTCCTACCTCTCTTATACTCATTTTGTTCCTGGATTCTTCTAGTCTGGTCCCTTTCATGACAGCTCCTCTTGCATTTTATGTAGTTATGTTCTTGTGTTTACTATCTCTTCCACTCTCCAAAAGAATTGTTATTTCTTACCCCATTTGAGTTGCCCTTGGGTAAGCAGCTATCAGCAGGTCCCCTTGAAATTTTTTCACTAAATCTACTTTTGCATCCACATATTTATAGTTGATGGATACTCTGGTTGACACAAGGAATTCGTGAAGTTTGGTCGACTTGTATTTTTTCCAGGTCCATCTATCTAACTGCATAATCACACTATATCACTAAATTGAAGTTGATACGATTGTGTAGTCTCCCTGTGTATTCTTAGACTGGTATTGTTTGCTTACAACTAGTAGGTCAACCCCTGGCTCTTTGGATATTGCCTCCATGAGGTCATGAGTATTTTTTATACCGTCGAAATTTTACCTGAAACACCATTGTGGATCTGACAATGACAATTTGAGTCTGCAATAACCACTGAATCTGCCACTTTTTTTTAAGGTTAAAATGTAAAGCCTATCTATCTACAACCGGAGCTGTGCATCTCACTGCATTGTGACCTTCAATGAAATAATCTTGAAAATATGTATGCCTATCCGGTCCTGCGTATTCCTTTGGTTCCTTCTCAATACCAAAGCACTCGAAGCACCGTTTTAGAGTATCTATTTCCCACCACAGGAATCTACAGTTGTTAATACCTACTCGGAGTCATATATTTAAGCTGACCTTCAAAACTACCCTCTCTGCCCATTTTAGAATTTCTGGCTTGCGCATATATTTTTGAAGCCTAACTTTCGTTACCACAGAACCCGTGGTAATCAAAAGTGCTTGATTGAGCTCCATCATCCATTATTTCATCTGGATCCTGAACAACAATCTCGCAATCCTTTTATATCTTTTGACTACAGTGTTGACGCCAGTTGCTTTTGCGAGCGCCTCCACCAATTTTCAGTTATCTTTGTCTTCTCTTATTATGGAGTCAACAAGATCACAGTACTTTGTTCTTCTAAGAGCTATAATGTCATTAGAGGCAGCACATACCTAGTTACCATTCCTGATTTTCTTCAGTACGTCATAGTAGCTACTATCTCACACTTGAACTAATATAGCTACCAGTAAACCTTGCTTCCCACTCACCAGTTTGTTCTGAGTTTTCTTTTCCTTTAAGTCGTAGTGTTCCATTTTCTACCAGGCGTTCCGGCTCGTTTTTCACTTCAAGACCTTAGTCCATGTGACGCTATGTACTACTGCAGATACTTCTTCGTTTTCTAAAAACCTTTGTGCCTGCACCATTGGACCAATGGCAATATGCCACTTAATTTCTGTGATACTTCTGTGATAATTACTGAAATAATTATCCCTGGTGGTCCGTACGTATCGGTTTTTAGTGATCAGTTCTCCTCTATCTACCTGTACGCAGTGGTCGGTAATGATGTTTCCCATCTAAATATCTAATGCAATAGCTTTGCATTCTCACTTTTTTTTCCGGTGACCATGTGTTTGTATGGCGTCCTTAAGAGAGAAGATATGTGCCCCAACCCAACCTAACCAAGCAAACTATTAATGCTTAAGGTATATTTTATTTATTAATTTGTATTAACTATGATATTGTATTTTATAATATTTTGGGAATACATTTTGTAAACAAATTCAAGTTTTCGTTGTCATCTTCCACTTTAGCGGGAACACAGAAGGACCGAATTATTGAAAAGTGCGAACTATTTAAGGTCCGATAACGAAAGGTTTGAGGCCGAGCTGAAGAAAATTACTTTGAAGACAGAGAAGATTGATCAAGACACGGCTGAAGAACGCAACGCATTGGTTAAACGTCTAACAGAAGAGTTGGATGGTGTGAAAAAAGCCAACCAACTGGTCAAAGTAAGTAACGATGATATTATTATTAAATTCATATAATAAAAGTAATAATATTATACAAAAACAGTGGCGCGACTAGGGGGGGGGGTTAAGGGGTTTTGACCCCCCCTCGAAATTTTTCAGAGGCTTAGTTAAAAACAACACACTGAAAACATGTTTCTTATTACAAGATTTTAGGTAAAAAATATGTGTGACAAAAAACAAAATCATATAAGAATTAAAACATAAACTAACTTTTTGATCGTTCGGCACATAGAGTTACTCTATGATTCGGCGCAATCAGTCAGAGCGCGTTAGTGTGCATATCAACACTTTGTATGATAACCTATATAATCACGTCAGAACTTGATAACATGATCTCGATTAAAACTGAGTACGCCGTGTAGTCAGTACGAAAAAAACTATTTTATATTTGTTTAATTAAAAGTAAATTATCACTTATAATCATAATTTATAAAAATGGCAAAACGAAAAATAAATGAGTTTTTCTTTACAAAAATTCCAAAAATTATCTAAGAAAGTACTAGTAATATTGTTACATCCCCATTCAAAGAAGATGAGTGTGTTGTAGACAATAGTTCTGCTCAATGATTGTAAGTAATGTTTAAATTTAAAAAAAAAATGTAATATATAATTTCTTTTATAGTCTTATCAACTTATGACTTTAAAATAATTATGAACAGTCCAGCATGTAGGCATGCAGCTAATAATATTTTTTCAAAGTAGATGATAGATATATTACATTTTTTTAATAATGATTGCTTGAATTTTTTGAGTACCCTAATATTTGCTAATTATTATTTATTGCTTTGCTTCATACTAGCCAAGCACTTGTGATGTTAATGCAATTGAAAAAAATATAGAAAATGTAGTATCATTTTATGTTGGAAAGAAAGTGTGAATAGTATAATAATAAGTTTTTTTGTTTATTGCTTGTTAGTACTTGGTAAGGTTTTGATGCTTTTTATTTTAGTTGTCTGAAGATGAAAAAGTTACAGCATTGGCAAAGCTTAAGCATCCCAATCCAAACTATATTTTTCCTAAAACTGGAAAAAGAAATCTGAAATGTCAAATTGCATGGTTTTTTCAATTTAAATAGCTTCATTATTCATTTGAGCAAAATGGTGTGTACTGTAAAACTTGTGTATTTTTCAGTCCAAATGATGGTGTAGGTAAAGGAAGACATCAGAACCCAGGAAAATTAGAACTAGAAAAATTTGACAACTGGAAGAAGGCGTTAGGTGATAAAGGATACTTCAAACTTCATTCAGAAAGTGATTATCATAAAACATGTCAATATCGTCATGACTATTTTTTGGCAGTCAAATCGAAAAATGTTGATTTAATAAATATTCAAATTAACACTATACTTAAAAAAAAATTGAAGCAAACCAGCTAAGGGTTATTATAATAGCAAAAACAGTTATATTTTGTGGTAGGCAAGGTATAGCCTTAAGAGGCCATAGGGACAGTGAAATGTTATTAAATGCTAATGAGAATATTAATGAGCCAGAATGTAACGATGGAAATTTTAGACAGTTACTTCGGTTTCGAATAGATGCTGGAGATGAATATTTAATGAGTCATTTAACTTCTTGCGCAAAAAATGCAACATATCTGAGCTGGAAAATACAAAATGAGATACTTTCTGCTTGTAATAACTAATAACCTTATATTAAAAAATCTTGTATGTGCTGTAAACAAAGCCAAAGGGTTTTCTGTATTGGCTGATGAGACCAGTGACATCTCCAATAAAGAACAGCTGACCATTTGTGTCCGTTATGTTCATTTAGAACAAAAAAAAATTAGAGAAGATTTTTTACAATTTGCGGAAGTTACTGATGTAAGTGGCAAAGCATTAGCACAAACTATACTTCAAAATCTTGAGATCATGGGACTCGAATTTAATTACTTAATTGGGCAAGGCTACGATGGAGCGGCGGCTATGTCCGAGAAATTTAATGGAACACAAAAACATATCAATGGTAAATATCCATTGACTTTATATATCCACTGTGGAGCACATTGCTTAAGCTTGGCTATTTCATTTAGTTGTAATGTAACTGATATTCGAAACTGTATAGTCACAATGCAAGCTACATATAACTTTTTTGGCAATCCTAAAAGACAAAATGTACTCAAAATATCAATTCAGAATGAACTACATGAATCAAAATTGAAAAAACTAAAAAAGTTTTGCCCTACATGACGCTGTACTTGTGTTTCATGAACTTCAACCTGCAGTTGTGGATGCACTTAATGAAATATCTACTTGGAAAGATAATGAGACTTCTGCTTTAGCTAACCAACTTAGTTCCTCCATCCATCAATTAAGGTTTCAAGTAGCCTTAATGATATTAGTAAAAGTATTTTTAAGTGCTCCTTTGAGCAAAAATTTCTTCAAACTGAAAACTTAGATTTAGAATTTGCTGATATGACTCAATCAACTGTAAAACAATTCCGTGATAACGCTGATGCTGAGTTTGAAAATATATTTTCCAGAAGTGGAGGATGTCTATAGAAGTTTTGATATAACTGTTAGTGTTCTAAGAACAACAAGTGAACAAAAAAATAGGAGTAATATTATGAATAATAACCCAACAGAATATTATAGAATCTCAACATTCATCCCATTTCTTGATAATTTTCTTGAACAACTACACGGACAATTTCTTGAACACAGGGCCAAACTAAAAAGTTTCAACTGCTTATTACCTAAGACCAGCAAACAAATATCTGAAGAAACGTTTGAGGACTTCAAAATTATATTCAATTTTTATACTGATATATTAAGCAACAGCAATAATTTGACTAGCTTAGAAGTGGGTTATGGTGAACTTACTGTGGTATAACAGTTGCATATTCAAATCACCAAATTTGTCGTCAACAATAACAGAACTATTTTTCCATTGTAATCCTGATTTTTTCCTGTAATCTCAAAGTTATTGCAAATATTAATTACACTACCAGTCACAACAGTTACTGGAGAGAGGTCTTTTTCATCTTTGCTTCGACTTAAAAATTATCTCAGAAATACTACTGGTCAAATGAGACTAAATGGATTGGCAGTCCTCAATATACACCAAGATTAATATCTTGATTAAGAGATTAATGTTGATCCATCGATGATAATTGATGAAATGGCTAAAACTTCAAAACGAAGACTCAATCTTAATTTATGATGAAAGTGCTTTTTTATTCATAATATGACTTTATTTCTATACCTATGACTTTATTATTTTATTTCTTGTGATTTATGATAATATTGAGAAATATATACATTATATTTATATATAATATATCAACATTATTTATGTAATATATTATATAATTAAACATGAAGGATTTTATCTTATCTATATATTATGTAGCACTGATATATACCCTCCCGAAATTTTTTTCTAGTTGCGCCACTGAACATCGTTACATCAGTTTTAAACTAACATTATTTATGTAATAAATTATATAATTAACCATACAGGATTTTATCTTATGTATATATTATATTNTTAATTTGTAAATTTACATAAGTACTTGTCATTAGATATTTTATGAAAATAATTAATAAATTATCATTTCATACTTCGAATTTGAAATAAATGTACTACTTGGGTTGTCGTTTATGTATAATATGTGTTTTTCAGGATCAATTAGAATCTATCGTAACGCCGAAGAGAAAGTAATTAAGTATATTACATGAACGTTGCATCTGCAAAACGTGATCACAGTATAACATGTTATCTCTTAATCAGCAATTATGTATTATATTATCTTTACACAGCCATGTATTAATAAATACAGTTGTACATAAATCATTATAATAAAACTTTATACAAAACGTATGTGTGATTGCTAATTTATTGCTACATATTTTTACGAACCTATATAAAACAACATTTTTTAAGTAGATACAAATACAAGTTACAAGTTGATGCGGCTGCGGCGGTAGTGGTGGTCGCGGTGAGCAGGTCTTAGTTGTATGGTAGACGGAAATGGTGGGTAACACTCGGTTTATTAAGAAAAAATGTACGTGCTTCGTTTAAACAAAAATGTCCCAAACTTTATTTGAGTGTAAGCTCAACAAAAATAAATGACAGAATAAAAATCTTCGTTGCCCTTGATTTGGTCGTGTTGGTGTTTTGAGGTACGGCGATCGGAGGTGCTGTTGTAGTCCGTTCAACAATCGGCGTAAGAGAGCAACCCCGTCGCCGCCGGCCGGTACTTGTCCAGCGCTACTTGTCTTCCCGTCCCACCTAGCCTTTGTGACGTGGAGTGAGAGTCGAAGGTGTCGCGTCGTAGTCACCCGTGGTGGTGGTTGATAAAGTCGTAGACCGGTCGCGGCGGTGCCTGTACTCGTACTTTGTACTGGCTGCTGCTGCGTACCGTGTCGAAGTATACAGGATTAATAGCTGCCTATAGTTTGTACCTATTATAGGTAGGTACTTTATTGAATAGCACCTTAACACCAAATTTAAGAGTTCTGCTTTTTTATCAATATACCGAGATTATTAGGTTCGTAAACAACCATTGAACATTCAATACATTAATAGTGAATAACATGATTGGTTCAAACCAATTCCTAGGAATTTTATACAACCCTGCTTACATGTCATAAAAAGAGGAGTTTAATTTATATCAATTATCCCACTTTCAATAAAACCGGTTGAGCAGAAACATTGTTATTAAAAAAAACATGAATAATAAATAATATTATGTCATGCATTCCTGGATTTACCATAAACTTGAGAGTTAATTGTAATTGGTATAAGGTATTTCAAGTCATGAAACTTATATAGTGCCTAATTTTGTTATTATTCAATGTCCTATCATAATACCTATAGTAATAAATATTTTTATATTGTCAGATCATTTTGAAAAAGCTAATATAAAAATTAGTGATGCTGAACAATATACAATTTATCTGAAGTAAATACCGAATATGAAGATACACAAAAAAGCCAATGGAAATCTAGTGCCAAAAAAAATCCCTGGTTACTTATTTATGGAATTCCTTATGAATAAAATAATAGTCCTTTCTATAATATTCTTAAAATTATATTTCTTAAGAGTTCCAGTGCTGTTATTAAATTAAAGATGTGACTAGACGAAGGCACATTTTAATTATTATATTCATTAATTAATGCTTACTCTAATATGTATTTACTTTCTTTTAACTTACCCTAATATGTATGCAGATAAAAGTTAATGATCAATATATATCATTTCAGTAAATCTATAAAAATAATATTTTTCTTTATAAGCATTCACCGAAAAAAGTTATTAAAATACCATAAACATTTATTATCCACAAATTGAGTTTTAGTTAGATAAAAATTACCTGCACTGATACCGATTTTTATTTTTACTAGTGGTGGCCAAATGCACCACCTTAAACAATTTTTACGCTTAAATGATTAAAACTTACAGTTCATGAAATCATGAGTAATTTAAGGACGAAGTGCTTATAGAATTAGTACCTAACCAATTAGGTATCTATATCTAGTTATCTAAATTAAGTTTAAATTTCAATTAATATAGGTAGTTACTGGATGTTTGGACTGATTAAACGGCAGTTGTAGCAGTAACATGCGTGTTAGTATCGTTCTGATACTACTGCGCTTAAAGCTGGCAATTGTTAACAGTTTTTGTGATCTCTGTGCTTAAGAATGCCTAAGAAGTGCGAGCAAGGATCGGTGTCGGTTCTAGTCCTATAAAAACCTTCCCCATTAGGGCAGTTTTAAGTTAGGATTGCACAACTACGGATTAAGGTAGGAGTAACATTTATTATCTTATTACTACATTCTTATCGGTTCGCGGTCGGCCAAAGGACAGCCGGCGAGCGGTCGTCGTCGCTATCACCGAACTCGGTATCGCGAACTCAGGCGGCGCACAGCCGGGGCGGACGCCAAACAAATAGCATACGGAATTACACGGCTACCTACACACTGTATGATATACATGGTTACGCACAGCTAATAAATACTGAGCCACAGAAGTATGAATTACGTCGATGATGACGTCGTGGAAACTGAATCTGGTGTTTTGGATGTCAGGAAGGATTGGTCCCCCAACTCCAGACCGATGGACACCGGACTATGTACCGAAGGTGACACCACGCCAGTGATGGGTGTTAAACAAAAGGTCACCATAGCACCGCATACCTCCACGATGGAGAGCAGTGAGAACCAGAATAGATAGAGGCGGGACTAGCGTACATCAAATCCTCGCTGAAATCAGCAATGAACGAAGCAAGACTAGGGGAAGATAAATCGGGGTCCAACCGTCTCATTAAGATGCTGGAAGATATTTACGACATCATGGCTCCGATGTTAACAAAAAAGAGGGAATTGAGGTCACCACTTCTTCGGAAAATTTTCCATTTCGAGCACTGCTCTCCCCAGTTAAGAAATTGAGAGACGACTTGGCGACCAGCCCAGTGGTCAGGGTCATTAACAGGCCGGAGATGGTTGACGTTGGGATGGACACCATACTGACCCCTAACAGGTGGGAGAGCGAACAGGAGCGCCGGAAGAAAGAGCCAACAAGACGTTGCTCACACAAGGCAGGTGCTTGTGGGCCGTCAGATATGACGCTTACACCGACGCTTGAGCGGATATGGATGGGTAAGGATGGAAGGAAGTTGTTTTTAGGAAAACAACCGCAGCACCTCCCAATGGAAGAACATTGGGCCAACACATACCTCTGAGGACAGGGGCCAAGAACAGCGCTAAGCCCCCGGCTGTTTTAGTTAAGTTAGCGGTTGGTTCGTCATATGCAGACACCATTCGCGCATTTAGGCTGAACAGCGAGCTAAACTTGGTGGAGCTGGGAGCTCAGGTAACCGGCATGCGTAAAACCAGGGATGGTTATTTGATAGTCAAAGGTGCTGGATCCGTAGTATCAGCACAGAAGTTGTTGATGGCCATTTCTACCAGGCTGGGTGACGCCGTTGGAGGAGTATCACGGCTTAGCCAGTATACTGTTGTCGAGATTGTTGACATCGATGAAGTGACAACTATCGCAGGTCCTATTGGCTTGCGGGTGGCAATACCAGAATTTGAAGACGACCAAGCTACTATTTGCGAACGGCAGGCTATGCAGATCACTGATCTTTGGCCATCAGGCCAGTTTCGGCCAGCAGATTGTCAGACAGCCGCTGTCTCTAGTATAAGCCGTGTACCGATTGGATGGACAATATGCAGCGTTCGCCCTAGGCGTCCTGAACCTGAAAAGTACTACCGATTCCATGGATTTGGACATCAGAGTGGTTACTGCTCTGGGCGCCCGACCTATCGTCAAATTGCAGACGCTGCGGAGAACCAGGACAAGAACTGAAACCATGTTTAGCAGATGAAGACCCATGTGTAGCGTGTGAGAGAGCTGGCATTGGGCGTTTAGAATATAAGCCAGTAGTCTCGGCAGGTTGGCAGTGTAGATGGAGGAAGCACTCTGCAATGATTCACTGCTTACAGATCAGCCTTCAACGGAGTTCCCCAGCGTAAAGATTGCTCCAACAGACTTCCGCTGCTACTGCTATCTGAACAAAACTGGAGCCCGACTCATGACGACCGATGGGTAGCCAGCATCGGCGGAACCTGTGCAGTAGTTATCACGGCCACCGCTGACCTTGCGCCTGACTCGATCCGGACGGGTCGCGGCTTCGCCTGGATGCAGTCATGTGGCATTAGGATATACAGATGCAAGATCTCCCGGAACGACACGGATGCTAACTTCGCCAACGTCCTGATAGACGACGAGCGGTCTGTTCGCTCGGCAGACCCACACTGCTCGGTTATTATCGGAGGTAACTTTAACGTCTAGTCCCAGGAGGGGGGCTCAGAGCGGAACGATGCTAGAGGTGACTAATTAGCTGACCTGGCTGCCAGCTTGGACCTGATGGTCGCCAATGTAGGCACCAAGCCTACGCACTACAGAATAAATACCAAGTCTGTAACCGACGTCACGTTCTACCGCTACCGATCTCACTCACTTACTGGAGGGTCATGGACGCAGTCAAATTGGCGAGTGATCACAGATATATCCAGTTCCGGTTAGTACGGACTCTTGATCAGGACGATCCCTCGGAACACCTCAAGGGTTAGACCTACAAGCGACTCAATATAGAAGCACCAACTCCACACCTGGCAACAGCGCCTCTGCCCGCTACTGATGAAAATACGCCCATTGATCAAGCCGCTGAGCAGCTCCTTTCATACTCGACATCTGCTTGCGTTTATTATTATTTAATCATACTGTTGGGCCAGAAGGGCCACCCTTTTAATAATTTATTATCATTTGTATTATCTTTGTTGTAATGAATTATTTAAACTTATACTATACAGCAACCCATATTTACCTGCAGCTATGTTACCATTTTTTTTATATATGTTCAATTGTACACACACTCACACACATACACACCTTCACACACCACCCACACACTAGCACTCACAGGTTTTGCTCGGCGACCCTGTCCACCTTCTGTCGAGTGCTATATACAAATAAACACACCAGATACTCAAGTTGGTCAGTGAATACGGGTGTACGGTAAGGTAATTCGGTGACCGAGCAGCACGGCTTATCACAATTCGTACCCGGCCCGCAAACAATGTAGGTATTTTCATTAATTATATTTTTTTAATTTTTTATAAACATTTTACCTATAACATTTTAGGTTTGTATT